GATGTACCTACACATTCTCTATATTAAGGGTACTGGTCCCAAGAGATCTTGAAGCCACCAGTTGCCACTGTTCCTGGAGATAAACACTGACTAATGAGTTTAACTTCTGCTGTGACTAGGTGAACATTCAACAGAAGCCACTGCATCTCTGAAATACAACCGCAATAAGAATATTTTCACCACTGAGGTTGTCATTCCTGATTATGATGTGGAAGCAGGCATCAAGCTTGCTGTAAGAAATGCTAAGGGAAAGAAGATGCATGATGTCACCATTGATGTAACCAATAAAAATATTCCACAGCTGACTCTTGTTGGACACACAAGGTACATAATTATATAATTGCATATAGTTATATAAATAAAGCTTCAGCCCTTTCCAATAATAAATGACACTGAAGTTTCAGCTGGTTTCTTGAGTCTAGGTCTTGAGGGGGGAAAAGTGGATGAGACCCATCCTAGGAAATTTAAAAAGTTCATAAATGGAGTTGCAGCCTTATCAACCTGTATGTCCTTGTTTTAAATGTAGACTTGACACGATGAAGGATGCCATGCTACAACTCCAGATGGTCATTCCCCCTATGAAAATTGATGCATCTGTTACTGCAACCCTGAAGAAGGATGAGGACATACTCATAGAGTTAGAGACAGTCATCAACCTTCCTGAGATGTCCTCCCAACAGAAAGCTTCCCTCAAATACAGTAAGTGTCAGCCATCACTTCCATCTTCAACACAGAAGAAAAATTTGAAAAATTTATTCATTTGTAGTTGGTTAAATTTTGCTAGTGCAATTGGATTTTCTTTTTACAGATAATGACAGACTTGAGGTAGAACTGAAATCAGACCTGGATTCAGATATTCAGAGATTCAGAGATTCTCACAGGCAGCTTCAACAGCTTATTGATGCTGTTCTGGACCAGAAGGTGGCAAACACTGATATGAAGCTGCGTCACATAGTTACTAAAGGAACTGAGGTAGGGGGTCTTTTTGTTTGTCTGTTATTTGGAATGAAAAAAAAGCTCACTTTTAGAAATAATTTTCAAACTTATAATCTTCAGCCCCAACTGCTGACATTTATTAGACACATGCACCTTATAGCCTTCTTTTACATATACAGTGCCTTGCGAAAGTATTCGGCCCCCTTGAACTTTGCGACCTTTTGCCACATTTCAGGCTTCAAACATAAAGATATAAAACTGTAATTTTTTGTGAAGAATCAACAACAAGTGGGACACAATCATGAAGTGGAACGAAATTTATTGGATATTTCAAACGTTTTTAACAAATAAAAAACTGAAAAATTGGCCGTGCAAAATTATTCAGCCCCCTTAAGTTAATACTTTGTAGCGCCACCTTTTGCTGCGATTACAGCTGTAAGTCACTTGGGGTATGTCTCTATCAGTTTTGCACATCGAGAGACTGAAATTTTTGCCCATGCCTCCTTGCAAAACAGCTCGAGCTCAGTGAGGTTGGATGGAGAGCGTTTGTGAACAGCAGTTTTCAGTTCTTTCCACAAATTCTCGATTGGTCCGAGATACTGTTGTGGAGAAGTTTAAAGCCGGATTTGGATACAAAAAGATTTCCCAAGCTTTAAACATCCCAAGGAGCACTGTGCAAGCGATAATATTGAAATGGAAGGAGTATCAGACCACTGCAAATCTACCAAGACCTGGCCGTCCCTCTAAACTTTCAGCTCATACAAGGAGAAGACTGATCAGAGATGCAGCCAAGAGGCCCATGATCACTCTGGATGAACTGCAGAGATCTACAGCTGAGGTGGGAGACTCTGTCCATAGGACAACAGTCAGTCGTATACTGCACAAATCTGGCCTTTATGGAAGAGTGGCAAGAAGAAAGCCATTTCTTAAAGATATCCATAAAAAGTGTCGTTTAAAGTTTGCCACAAGCCACCTGGGAGACACACCAAACATGTGGAAGAAGGTGCTCTGGTCAGATGAAACCAAAATCGAACTTTTTGGCAACAATGCAAAACGTTATGTTTGGCGTAAAAGCAACACAGCTCATCACCCTGAACACACCATCCCCATTGTCAAACATGGTGGTGGCAGCATCATGGTTTGGGCCTGCTTTTCTTTAGCAGGGACAGGGAAGATGGTTAAACTTGATGGGAAGATGGATGGAGCCAAATACAGGACCATTCTGGAAGGAAACCTGATGGAGTCTGCAAAAGACCTGAGACTGGGACGGAGATTTGTCTTCCAACAAGACACTGATCCAAAACATAAAGCAAAATCTACAATGGAATGGTTCACAAATAAACATATCCAGGTGTTAGAATGGCCAAGTCAAAGTCCAGACCTGAATCCAATCGAGAATCTGTGGAAAGAACTGAAAACTGCTGTTCACAAACGTTCTCCATCCAACCTCACTGAGCTCGAGCTGTTTTGCAAGGAGGAATGGGCAAAATTTAAGTCTCTTGATGTGCAAAACTGATAGAGACATACCCCAAGCGACTTACAGCTGTAATCGCAGCAAAAGGTGGTGCTACAAAGTATTAACTTAAGGGGGCTGAATAATTTTGCATCGCCCAATTTTTCAGTTTTTTATTTGTTAAAAAAGTTTGAAATATCCAATAAATTTTGTTCCACTTCATGATTGTGTCCCACTTGTTGTTGATTCTTCACAAAAAATTACAGTTTATATCTTTATGTTTGAAGCCTGAAATGTGGCAAAAGGTCGCAAAGTTCAAGGGGGCCGAATACTTTCGCAAGGCACTGTAGTAGAGTATGCTGTAGCAGAGACCTTTGAACATACAGTACTTTGCTGTATTTATAATTCAGAAAATTTGGTAAACAGCAGAACCCTATACAAAAGTCAATGGCATAAATAATTCTTGAAAACACTGCAGTTTTCAGCAAATTTAGATGTAACATGCACATACCAAGTCTGTGTCAACTTACAAAATTTTGACTTTTGATTGCAAGTAGTGCTACAGGAACATGCCAACTTTAAATGACCAAAACTCATCATCCTGAATCTAACTCGTGCAAAATGGACAAATTGATGATTTGTTATCACTATGTGTATGCTAATTCCAGATGCAGATTCTGATATGGATTAAAACCTTAAACATTCTTTGTTGGAAAATTAGTATATTCTAACAGGACATCTTGCCGAAGGTGCACACAGTGTTTTTAAGCTTTTGCTTTAAAGTGAGATGTAGGCTAATTCATCCTCCTATCACCCTGAAGGCAGGTTATATATGGCTGGACAAACTGACAGCACATACGCCTTATTTTGCAAACCTGCGAAAGAAAAGGATCATGTCAGATCTCACCTTGCCAGCTCTGCCTGAGAAACTATTTCTGCAGATGTAAGTGTTTAATATAAAGTTTAAGAACTTTTCTTTTTTCAAATAGACATAAACCCAAGTTAGGTCATAAACACTAACTTAACATTTCAGCTGTACTCTAATTAGCATTAATTTGAATTAATTAATGAGTTAATGAATTATGATTTCTTTTTTTAACTTTTATAGTGACAGCTTTTTTCGATACCAGTTCAACAAGGACAAGATGGCCATCTCACTTCCTCTGGCTTTAGGAGGCAAAAAGTCAGAAGAAGTGAACATCCCAACCATTCTATCTATTCCCCTCCTAGATATACCAGAAATAGGCCTGCATATCCCTGCCAATAACTATCCGCTACCATCATTCACTGTTCCACCTTGTTTGGATTTCTTTGTCCCCCTTCTTGGTCTTGCACAAGCATCCACCAAGATCAACAGCAACTTCTACACATGGGAAGGCTTCATATCTGGTGGCAACAACACTGTTGATGTCCCCGAATACGTTGTACAGTACAAGGCTATGGCCCAATCACCTTTCAACATGCTGTCATACAAGCTTGAAGGTAAATATCTTAAGATTCCAGTTAATAGTTAATGAAAAATGCTGCAGGCCTTTTGTATTCGGTTAAAGAACATCGCACAACACTTTATTCATATTTAGTTACTGATAGTTGGTTAACATTTAGTGTCTTGTATTTTGAAAAATTATTAATTGTGCTGTTACATATTCTGACAATGGTGTTATTTCTTGTCATCTGTTTCAAGGAACTGGGATGATGTCAGGAAGAGGTGACAATAATCTCAAGTATATTCTGAATAGTTCCTTCAGCCATTGCCTCATTGACACGAGCTTCAGCATCTTAGAGACGTTAAGGGTCACAAACAAATTTAATGCAAAAGCCAACTATAAGATTGAAGTCTCAAGTCCAATGGGCCTGCAAGCCTCCATCTATTACTCTGCTCAGTCAACCTCTACTCTAGAGTCACATGAAGTCTCAGGAGATGGCAATGTGGAAGGACTACTGAAAATAGGTTCATTCTACACCAATACCTCCTACACCAACAGCTACAATCTGCGTCCACTAGATAAACAGGGAAGAGGACAGTCAACCCTGCAGATTGACTCTCCAGTCATGCAAGTTCACAACATGATCCATGGTGTCTATGCAAACTCCGAGTTGAACATTGTGTCCAAAACCAGTGCACAGAAGGGCATCCTCAAGAATGTAGCAGAGCTCAAGTATAAAGATGCACAACTGACTTTAAAATCCAACACTGTTGCCACAGCCATGGGTAAATTGCTCACTAACAAAGTTGAGCTTGGGGTCTCCAGCCATATGGCTATTCTCAGAATTGAGTCACAGACAGATGAAGACACAAATAGGGTATACTCACTTATAACAGGATCCTTGGATTTAAACGGGCTTGAGTTACACTCTGAGGGTTCCGCCACATTTGACACAGGTCGTGGATTGCACAAAGCCTCTGTTATGGTTGGCAGAAATGGTCTGACCATGAGTGGAACTAATAGCATTCAGTGTAGCCCCGTAACAGTGGAAAATATCTTCAATGGTGCTATAGACAATGACGGAGCATCCCTGTCCTCCACGACCAAAGCAATGGCTGAGGAGAGTAAAGGAGAGCTTTGCATTGAGGGTAAAATCACAGCTGAGGAAGCCTCATTGTATGGTGTTCTCAAGGGGCATGCATATGATGCAACCACAAGAACCATCATGAATGTTGTGCTAAACCAAAGGGGTCTGACTTTTACCAGCTATACTATGGGAACAGTGAAGCAGATGAAAACAGAAAATAGCCATACACTGAGCATCACTCTGTGGACCCTAGCCCTCCTCTCCAAGACTAGCAATTTCATCTGTGAAGATATTTACTATGAGCAAGACACCAAGGTTGATATGAAGCCATTTCTTATTTCATCTGATATTACAAATGACCTCAGGTTTTATGATATCAGTTTGAACAATGAAGGCCACATGAAACTTGAGCCAATTAAGATGGACCTAAGTGGAAGTATGAGGGGAGCTTATGGAGAACAGCACAACATTAAGCATACCTATGAATTCACCTATGACAATATGGCTGGTACAATGAAATACAACGTGTCTGGAGCTGTGATGGAGGCCCAGCTAAGCCACAACTGCGAACTTGAGTTTGCTGGTCTTTCCTCCAAGTTAAACTGCAAAGCAAAAATAAATTCTGAGCCTTTACATTTGGATGGCACCATTCGCACCATGGCACTGCCGTTCAGCCTCACTCTTGATGCTTTTGTCAGTAGTGATGGTGAAATGAATCTATATGGGAAGCACACCGGACATCTGTACAGTAAATTTTTGGTCAAAGCTGAGCCCCTAGCGCTTGCATGCTCACATGACAGCCAGGTATCCACCACACATATGCTTCCGAGTGGGGAGACTTCCACTAATTTAGACAGCAAAGTTGATAGCATCCTGACACCAAGTGATCAATCACTGACCTGGAAAGTAAAATCTAAAATGAACAACCATGCTTATAACCATGATATCAATACTTACAATAATCCCCTAAAGATTGGATTTGAGTTTTCAGGAGCAATGTTAACAGACCTTTTTAGCAAACTGAGCAAAAACAAGAGCTCCCTACCAGAAGTACAGGAATTCAGCATGGCTGGTTTTCTCAAGTATGATAAAAATAGTAACTGTCATATAATTGAGATTCCATTCATCAAGAAATTTCCTCCTACTTTTGAGAAGCTCAAGAACACAGTCATGGAAGCCCTAGAGTCACTTCAACAGTTCATCATCAGTTTGGATATTAATCAGCTAATAGCTAATTTTAGAGCAAATTTAGGTAGCCTACCGATGCATGTGAGTGACTTCATGCGAGAAATGGACTTGGAGAACAAAGTGAATCAAGTAAAAACAAAACTTGATTATTTGATCAATGAGTTTTCTGTAACACTGGATGACTTGGAGCTTGTGATGAGTACCTTGAGGAAGAACTTGGAAAACATAGTAATAGATGTTGCCACCAAAATTAGAGACCTCATCCTCAGACTTGAAGACTATATCAAGGCAGGACATCTTGCCGAGAAGATAACAACTGTACTTTCACAGATTGGAAATCAGCTTCGTGCCTTTGATGAGAAATATAAAATCAAGCAGTCACTGGTCAGAGCACTTCATGCCACCGAGGACATCTTCAGACAGATTAATTTACAGAAGCTCACAGCAAGCAGTGCTGCATGGCTGAAAGATCTGGATTCAAAATATAGAATCTTGGAAAAAATCAAAGACAAACTGTTTGAAATGAAACAAACCATTGAGAACTTTGATGTTAACAAGTTTTTCCAAGATATAAAGGATTATCTTCTCTCCTTTGACTTGGCTATGTATGTTGAGCAGCTATCATATAAAATCCCCTCTGCAGAGATAGCAAACGTGATTGAATCAATGAACGATGTTATTGTCAATTGGATTGATGAATACGAAATCCCTAAAAAACTCAATGCGGTATATTTCTACATTAGAGATCTACTTTTAAAATACAGTCTTGATGATAAATTTAAAGAATTAATGGATCAGATTGTGATTCTCATTAAGGGATTGAAAATTGAAGAGACTGTGCAGTCAGTGGTAGATGCTTTGAAAGCAGTCAACTTTGAATTTGTTTATAATAAAATTATGCAATTTCTTGGCAGTGTGACAAGCCAGCTCAGAGCAATTGACTTTAAGAAAAGTTTCAGTTATATTAATGAAAGCATTTCTTCAATGCTTAAATCACTGAAGGACTTTGACTATAGTGTATTTGTTGATGAGACCAACAAGAAGATTGCTGAACTAACAGACTACATCAACAAGCAGATTGAAATATATGAGATAGTACAAAAAATCGAAGCTCTCAGGGCTTTTTTCCGAGAGCTCCAAAGTTCCATCTTCACATATTTGGATGAACTCAAAAACACAAAGGTGGCTGATGCTCTAAAGAAACTAAAAGATGTAATCGACACTACATTTTATAATGACATCAAGATTAAAGTGCAGGATATCCTTGAGGATACAAGGCAAAGAATTCTTGACATGGATATTAGAGAGGAAATACACAGTTACCTCAGAAGAGCAAGTGAATCCTACAGCAATATTGTTGCCTACATTTCTGCACAGTTTAACCAACTGATAGAGTTAATCAGCAATGTGGTAAAGGACAACGAGATCATCTCCAAGATGAAGAAAGCACTAGATGTGATTATGGTTGCACTGAAAAGAGCTGAGATTGAAGTTGCAAGTTTTACTTTGCCTCTCACTGACCTTGCCATTCCAGCATTTAAAGTCAACTTGAACAAACTACAGGAAATTGGGATTCCAGCTCAAATTTTAGTCCCTGAGTTCACCATTCTCAACTCCTACACAATTCCTGCCTTTACCATAGACTTTGAAAAGATCAAAGCAAAAATAATTGCAATCATAGATGACATCAGAGGATTTGAGATCCAAATGCCTGATCCTGAAGAAATCTTTGGTGACCTAAAAGTTCTCTACCTATCTAAACTACCAGATTTCACCTTCCCAGGGATAACACTTTCAGAAATAAAAATTTCACCCATCCACATCCCCAAGTTAAATCTGAAGGAGTTTGAAATCACAGTGCTTCCAATTCCAGAGATCAAATTGCCTGAGGTTTCCAGTGGCATTTGCATCCCATTTTTTGGCAAACTTAATGGGGAATTTAGAGTGAACTCCCCACTGTATGCTCTTCTTGCTACAGGGAAGATTGAGAACTCAGCGGCTACCCCAAAAAACCCACAGTTTAAAGCCACCATTACTTCTCATGCCAAATCACCCATTGAGCATCTTGAATACACCTTTGAAGCCACTGCTTTGTTTGAAACTCCCAGAATGAAGAAGTTGCTATTCTTAGAAACAATGAAAGCTACATACATGGCCTTTTCTATTAATCATGAAGGATCCTTGACACTCACTGGCTCTTCTGCTGAAGCTTCTGCCAAGACTACTACCAAGGCCACAACTCAAATGTATATGGCAGACTTGGTGAGCAACATAGCACTTACACTGAAGAATGGAATCTCTGCAGTCACAGACACAAGCTACAGCCACAACTTGGAAATCCCATCAATTGAAATCTCAAGCAAGGTTTCAGTGAAACAGAATATAACAGCTGCAGTAAAAGCTGGCAGAATTACTATAACTGGTGAAACTACTGGTAACGGAAGTTGGTCAGTTCAAGACTACTCTGATGAAGGTACACACAAAAGCAACATTGAATTCAGCATCAATTTTAACACTGCCAATTTAACTCTTGTAGGAGAAACAGACTGTAAGGCTGTGAAATTGAAGAAAACACTGACTGCCGAATCACTGATGTTAAGCCATGTCACTGTTCAAGCAAGATGTGAAACTGAAACTCCATCTGTCAAGAAGAGTGTTATAGTTGTAAATGGGGAGGCTCATAGTGGGGACCTGAAAGTTGTACTGACAGTCTTTCATGATGCAGAATTCATAGGAAGTGTGATTGGATCCATGTCCAACTCCTTGGAATTCATGGCCCATCCATTTGAGATTGTGCTTGATACAAAGAGTAAAGTAAACACAAAGATTTTTCTTCCTTTGAAACTCACTGGTAAGGTGGATCTCCAGCACGATTATAGGGTTATGCTTAACTCTGAGAAGCAGCGTGTTTGTTGGTTTGCTTTGGCAAGATTCAACCAGTACAAGTACAATCACAATTTCACAGCAGAAAACAATGAAATTGACATTTTCTTTCACTCATCAGCAAAGGGAGAGGCCAATCTGGACTTCCTGACTGTTCCTCTCTCTGTGCCAGAGACAATTGTACCTTATCTCAAAATTAAAACCCCAGAGGTCAGGGACCTCTCGCTGTGGGAACATGCTGGATTCAAAACCTTGCTTACCACTCCTCAACAATCATTTGAGATGAATCTGAAGCTTCATTACTACAAGAATCCAGATACACACAGCTTTGAATTACACCTAGAACCAGTCTACAGTGCAATCAGTGACAATGCCAACATCATCCAGGCTCAATTTGAGCAATATAGAGACAAAGTAGTTGCATTTCTAAAAGAGTCATACAACCAAGCAAAGTCACAGTATATCAAACACAAAATTGACACTTCTGGTCTGCCTCCTAGAATTTTCACTGTCCCTGGATACAAAATACCAATACTGAATATTGGGGTTTCTTCATTCAGGGCTGAGTTGCCGGCCTTTAGTTACTTTATTCCTAAGGAGGTCAGTACGACAAGCTTCAAAGTTCCAGCTCTGGGTTTCTCTGTGCCATCCTACACCCTTGTAATACCATCTTTGACCTTCCCTGTCATCCACATTCCAGAAACTTTAAGTGAAATAAAGCTGCCCACTTTCACACTACCAGACATTCAGAACAACATTGTTATTCCAGCCATGGGTAACGTAACTTTTGACTTCTCCTTCAGATCCACTGTCAATATCCTAAGTGCTAATGTTGGCCTATATAATGTAGAAAGAAATTCTTGATAAAATGATATAGTGCTATGTTATGTATTTGCAAAACTGTTCAAATAATTGTTTAATCTGTGTGACCTTTGTAAAGATTTGACCTGTGTACATGAAATGCTGGAAGGAGGTGCAGAGAGACTCAGAACAACAGGAAGTCGTGCAGATACATACTGAGATGACTAAACTGTCGAGAACAAGAATTGTGTGTGGGTGTAAGGTCTGATTGTCTTGGCTTCAGATTATCAACATTTATCAACATTATATGAAATTCTAGGATTGACATTATAATCTGAATTAGCAAATATATCTACAAGTTTACTTTAGTATCATATGCTTTATGATTTACTTTTGCTTTAACCAGTTCACTTGTCTAATATAGGAATATTGGAGACATGTGTAAGGCTGTAAGAGTAGACAGGAAACCACAGAACAGGAAGTAGACCAGGTCGCATAGCAAAGCTGGCGCTCTTCCTAAATCTGCAGACAACAACTAACTGTTTATAAAGACGTATGTAGAAGGGTAATGTCTAGGTCAAAAGGTCAGGATGTTGTACTTAGTGTCACAGATCAAAATCTGCCTGGCGACAAGATCACCAAATGAGGGGTCAGAACGAGGTCAACCGGCTTCCTGCAGCAGCTATGCACTATACTTCTGTGTGATAGGGCTTCAGAAAGAGACGGAATCCAGAGCTCTGTATTGCTTTTCTTGAATATTTTTTTCTTAAATATTGATTGTAATAAATATCTCAAAGGACAGATTTGTTTTTGAGCATTCTTCATAAAAGGACACGCAGGACTGGTTTAGTCCAACAATAACCAGTCTGACATTGTTGCACAGTTTGGTGCTTCTTCAGCCTCTGTGTTTGACATTTTGAATGGAAAAACTGATGGCACCACAAGTCTGACAAGGAAGAGAGGAATAAAATTTTCCACTACTTTGTCCATGGAGCATATCAACGTAGAAGCAAACCATGAATGTGCTGTTAGTCTCACCAAAAGAAGCATGGAAGCTTCTGTAATGAACACTGCAAAAATCATTCTACCCTTCCTGAATCTAGAACTGAATCAGGATCTCACTGGAAATATCAAGAGCAAACCAAATATTGCTTCCAAGAAAAAACTGAAATATATGTTTAATATTCCTCTGATTGAATCTGTGGGCAAAGGAAACATTGATATCAACTGGGTACTGGAAGGGCTTTCTTCTTTTGTATCACTGGAGACCTCTGGTCAAGGGAAGTCTGACATAACGATAATGGGCAGCTGTAATTTTGCTGGAGATATAAAAAAATGAGGTGAATCTCAGTCTTAATGCCAATGGCCTGCATTCAACTATCAGGACTGCCTTAAACTCAAACATTAAGCAAGAAAAACATAAGCGTATTTTAAACAATAACATCCTCCAGTTTGACTTAAATAAGGACTTGGCTCTTGAGGTTTCCTTGCAGCGTATGTTTATAACAGTCGATTACACAAGTAATAACAATGTTGATGTTGTATCTTTCAACACAAATGGAAGGCACATTATTAAAGGAGAACTAGATTTTGTTCCTTTAACAACTGTCAAGATTACACTGAATATCAGTGCAAGTCAGCCAAGTAGTTTTGGTCATGCTAGACTCACTGAGAGCATCAACCTTACCATCAGCTCAGAGAAACAGTCCTTCACCTGGAGTGGTAAGGAACAGCTGGCATCTGTCATACATGCTTGTGATGTACTTGTGTCCAGTGATGAATCTGAGGTACGCATGGATTTAATCAGATCGGTGGAGGGCCACCTAGCTTTCTTGAAATCGGTTAAGCTTTCTGTGTATCAGAAGACCCTCTGGGATGTGTTCAAGTTTGATCAGGTCACAAATATGGAGAACTTACAATTCCTTAACATCTCTTCCAGCATTTTATACACAAAGTCAGTGGATGGCCAGGTGTATACAATACCATCTAAACTATTTGAAAATGGCATCACTTTTAGCATTCCTGAGATTAGTATCGCAGTGCCTTCTTGGGTAGAAGAAATCCCACACTCCATAAGGACTGTAGACATTGAAAACCCCAATGTCTCCAATCATCTCACTCTTCCCCCTGTAATTTCACTTCCAGCCTTTGATGTGCCATTTACCAACTTACATGTGGAACCCCTTACAATTGATCCAAAGAACTTCAACATCCCTAAGGTGATCACCACTACGGCCTTTGAAATCATGCTGCCGGGCTTGCCAATAATATCAGTGCCCAGTTATAGAATTTATGTGCAGTATTTACAAGGGAAAATGTCATTCGTTTCTATGAAGGTGCCACTAAATGAAATCAAAGTCTCATCTTTCACACTACCAAAATCCTTTAACATTGGAGAGCACACCTTTGAACTAAATGAAATTACAAGCCATATTTCAAGCTTTGAACTTCCAATCATTGGCATTCCAGAGCAAAAAATTGCAATTCCTGAAATTGCCCTACATCTGCCTTTAAGTGTGTTTATCCCAGCTTTTGGTGCCCTCAGTGCCACTCTGAAGGTTTCCTCGCCTATTTATAATGTGTCAACAACCACCAGCATTGAGAAAAAAGATTCTAGCCTTTTAAGTTCACTGAATTCCATCCGCGCTTCTACCATGGCCTTCTTGGACTATGACTTCTCTGGTAAGATTGGCATACACTCTACTTTACATTATTTGATAAGAGAATTTTATGTGAATTGGTAACTCTATGTAAAATTCTATTTTACCTATGTCTCCTCAGCCAGTGCAACTCTTGGATTTGATAATGAATTATTCAGTCTAAATGGGAAATGCAAGTTTATTCACAATGATATTAATGTTGACTGGCACCATATTTTAGCACAAAACATGAGGTAAGTGTATAGAGTATATTGTGTACTTTTTCAAATTGGTAGTAAATTGTTTGCTTCAGTTTATCTCTGTGGAAGCTCATTTACACCAGTAAAAGAAAACTTAATGTTTTGAAATAGTAAGTCATCATTCTGATTATTACTTTGACATATTTTAGGCATATTCTCCAAGACTAAGCTTTCACCTTTTTGTTTTCTTTAACTGGTGGAAATGGGCTTTCATCTGAATTTCCATGTGTACTTGTACTAACAAAGACATGGAGAATACACTCAGACCTCATTTAGTTACTATATTTGTCCTACGGAGACTGAAAAAGTGAAAAATGTGTAAATATGTCCAAGAGGTATTTGAGACCCATTAATACCAGATGTGTTCTGTCCAGATGTTGAAAAGGTATACAGTAAACAAATCTGTTTCTCTATGACATCGGTGTTATTTCTTGGGAAAACCAAATCACGGGCAGATGTATTAATGTAGCTGCCTACAGTACATGTAGATAAGTGTAAAGAAAGCATATTAACCTGTCAAAATAATAATCTTGCACACAACTGTATGCTCATACATCCATTAGGGTGCCAAGCCAGAGCAGGACAAATAATTCATAAAGTAAGAATGTCAGCACACACCACTGATATCTGGATTATCTGTTTTTTTTTAATTAATAATGCACATGACTACAAATATGATAGCAATGCAGTTTGCATTGTAGCTTCCTCAGGCTTGTTTCATAATCTATAATAGGTGCACATTTTAAAAGATTCTAGTAGCTCTCCATGGCCAGTGGTCAGTTACAAGTCTCATGAAACACAATTATATTAATTAACTCTGAGGAAGAAGTGAACAAGAATCTTTATTTTAGGTAGGAGGTATGGTTGGTGTTACAAGCTAATGTATAATGCTCTTTAGAGATGCTGCCATTGGTATTTTTATATAATATGGCTGTTTTTTTCTCAGGATGAAGCGCCAAACTCCTCCGGCTGATTTGATGTAAGTTTTTTTTTTTTTTGTTTAAAGAAAAGGCTGATTTTCTGATTGTTTCAGTTTTCAAAATCTTCTGTTATATTGGCCAACCAAATATACACTAGATAACACCACTACTAACAACAGTTTCTTTAATTTAAAGGGAGTCTCGTCATACAATAAATGTGGACATTACCAGTCAAACATTTGCTGATGCAAGCTTCCGCTTTGCTTCTCGCAAAGATGGCATTACTGCATTTGTGTCTTCTCCATCATCTGGTTTCCTTGGATTGCATTTACAGGGGAGGTCTCCATCACAGCTGTATGGAAAACTATTCAGTTGCTACATGGTAAGAGACTCTTTGAGCTTTTTATTTACTTATGTTTGTCAAGACCAAACAAATTTTAAATCTATAGATGAATGCAATAGAACGTTTTAACATTTATTCTTCTTGATTCTACTTGTTGTTGTTTTAACAATTCTTCCTCTTCTTGATTTCTTCCCTGGTTTTCAGTCTACTCCTGACAAGGATACTGATGTTTTCACTGCCAAAGCCACACTGAGAAACTCTCAGAAGTTAATCTTACAGACATCATGGAAATGGGACTTCCTCCATGATGTGATTGAGGGGACCAAGGACAGGATTCCTGCTATGGCCAATGCTGTGCTCAAATTCATTAACAATTATCACACTGCCCACTTTGGCTTTGATCTGAACCGTGGTGGCATGAAGCTGAAAAACACAGTTTCCAGTGTCACAGAGAGAGCCTATCGTGAGGTCTATATGTCTTTCAACATGTTGCAAAGTATAATCAAATACTTTGAGGATCAAAGAAAAGACATGTCCAGGAGAGCTTCTGACAGCTTGATGTTCATGAGTGTGCAGGATGTTATAGACAGCTTGGCTCATGAGAATACAAAAGTTTTTAAACACAGTAAAGACAAGATTTATGTCTTGCTAGATGCAGTCATTCAGGTCTTGAATGACACAAAGTTTACAGTGCCAGGATCTGAAGAGAGGATCTCGAGTCTGGAGCTGTTCCAACAAGTTTGATGGTTTGTATCAAGAAGCACTGACAGGGCAGTCCAAAGGTTTGCCAGCCTCATGGAGAAGATTTCTGGATACATCCAGGGAATCGAGTTCACCATACCTGGAACTGATGTTGTTGTTAATGGAAATGAAATCATGGACAAACTGCAGTCTTCTACAAGGCCTGCATATGATCAGCTAAGTCATTCACTGCACAGGAGATTTGCTTTGCTTTACCAAACACTTAATAACTTCTTGAGGATGATTTCTGAAAAGGCCAAACATTTCATCACCTTCCTCAAAGATGAAAACATTGAAATTGTCTCTCAGGTTGATGTCATTTATACAGAGTTTCTGGAGTCTTCTAACCAACGTGCTGAGGAGGCAAAGAGACATCTGGCTGAGTACAGAGAAATTACCAAACGTAAGTTTCAAGAGGCTTGTAATGCTTTAGGTATGGAGCATGTAAATAACAATTCCAAGGAGTTTATTAGTATTTTGGGGTCACATCTCTATAGAGGACTTAACGAAAGCATAGATCTAATGAGGAGGACTTCCCAGGCAACAGCACCATACATCAAAGTGAGCAATAAAAAGATGGACATTAAAATTCCTTTACCCTTCCTTTGGAAGTCATTTAGTGAATGGCCGATGCAATCCAGGGAGTGAATGCATTGTTTGATAAAGTGATGTCATTATGGCTGCCCAGATACATCAGGGGTTTTACACATATGTGAAAAAATGACTTTTCTGTTTGATGCCAACACAAAATTGTTTAAAAATTCTATAGTCAGTGTTGGCCCATAATGTGTTATCCTTCCCCGCTAACAAGTTTTGTAAAAATTTACAAATAAAATTTCAGCAATACTATTACAGTTACTCTCTCCAAAAACAACTCATTATGTCATTATTTTTGTTGATACAATGGCAAGGATTGATTTGAAATCTGATATTTAATATCCACATTGACTGTAGTCATCTCACATGCACACGTCACTACACAGCACCATAAACAATAAGCTATGGAAACGCTTATGTTCAATGGCTGGAAATACTCCCATTACTTTTATTTTATCAGGACAAAGGGTGATAAGAACATTATTGTAAAATGTAAATTGTGCGCAGGTAGGGGTAAGACTCTTTCCACTGCGAAAAACACAACCTCAAACCTCTTAACACTTTAAACACTGTTTAAAAGGCTTGTCATTGATTTGAGCCTGGTTTCCTTTTCTAGTCTATAACTTTTATGGATTCATAGGTTTCAGAAAAAAACTGCTGATATTTTAAAACCTTAGCTGTGCTTATGGGTGATTACTCCAACATTCTTACAGCTAGGAGGTGCATTTTGAGGAGATAGGAAGCAATTACCAATCTGTGGGGTGTAACATAAAAGTAATAATAATAAGTAGTTTAACAAATTACCGTTGACAGAGAGTAGTAAGTAAAGTAATATCAATTTTAAAAAGAGTAACAAGTAATGAGCAATATATTACATTTTTTGAGTAACGAGGCCAACACTGGGTATACAGCATATGAAATATAAACAAATTATTCTCATTTGAAGTTTCTTTAAATGTGACTTTATTCAACTATGATCTACTGTACCAGTGTTTAAAAGGTAGGTTACTCTTTGATGATTTCAGTTAAACAGTACTTCCTCTATGGTGTAATTGTATCTGTTTTTGCATCCAACATACTGTCTCAGCATTTAATTATACATGAAATAGTGTATATAGCAAAATGAGACATCTGTCTTAAAGAAAGTGCTGAGTGATTGACTGAATTTCCACTATTTTATATAATGCTCTTTTCTTTATTTGTTCTTTTACTCATTCTTTTGTTTTTCTTTAATGTTTTCCTGATATACTGGTGACTTTTTGTATTAAGATTTTAGGCTTATAAAAGACAATACGTTGATAAAGACTTGGAGTGTGACGCTTTCTGTAGTTGTCTATGACTTATTAGCATCTCTGCCAGAAAGACAGAAAGTCCCACCTAAACCCTTGAATAACTGTTTAAGACTTAAATATGCCATTAAAAACAGACAGTTCAATTCATAATTGTATGTATTTTTAGTGCCAATTCACAACCAGTAATAACCATAGAATTTAATTTATACATTTATGACAATTTCACCAAAACTGAAGCAGTTTGAGCTTCATTAACACAGATGTGTGAAGTGTTGCATCGAAGTGTATACAATTGTACAGGTGTACCTAATAACGCGGCCGGTGAGTGTTTATCAGCTGCTTTACTGTTTTACCTTCCCCTCATTTGGATTGTTGTATGTTAGAATTATTGGGGGCGCTAATGTAGGTAGTCTATAAATTGTATGGTATTTTCTGTCTAACAGAAAGAAGAAAGGCATTATGGGACGCCCGCTTGTATCCAGTTACAGAAACGAGGATAATGAGAAATCAGTTTAAAAAGTATTTTATTGTGGATGTAGTTGGCAGGGTAGAACATGGCTGACGTATTCGGGACAAAGCCTAAAGACAGGATGGCACTGATACCATGTTAAAAAAGGCCAACTGCCGTAAATCCCCATAAAGAAGAAGAAATGGGACGACCTCTCGGCTGACCAATCAGAATTCAGCTGTGCGGAAAGCAGGAAGTGCTGACACTGAGCAAAGAAGAGACTGCGGAGAAGGTAATGGATAGAGAAGAAATCCTTATCATTTTAATCCTATTACCCTTATGAAGAGGTAAACGATATTGTGGTACATATTATATTTGTCAAGTAGCGTCAGAAAACAAGCTACTAACAAGCCTTCAGATTATGTTTTTTCATTCACTTAAAAGCTCTGGTACTGGTGAAAACGCTTAAATGTTTGTAAATACTCACACTTTACTGCAGAGATGAGCTTCTTGCAGAGTAAAATAGAGAATAAATGCAGCAACATCCATGACTCGCTGTTCAGCTTAACCTTTGACACAATGAAATGCATCGCCTTTGGACTCATTTGGCAAATTCTGTCAGCTGTTACAAAGGGCTTATTACAGTGTTGTGTAATATAGTATTACAGTAACACTTATTCACTAGATCTGAATACCAATGACTTAATGGATTGAAGCTTCTGCAAAGTGCATTAAACTTATCATGTTTGGTTTTCTGACATCTTCCTCCTTTTTCTCAAAGCTGATGAGATGGAAACCATGATGACAGACCAGAGGGATGAACCACACACAGACTTTATCTACTGTCATGGAGCCATCACAGAGGTCCTTAAATTTGGCTCCTGTCACTTACATTCTGGACACAGAGTCCTCTTTCTGATCATTCCAGGTGAGTTGGACTATTATTCTGTACTAATAATCATACAGTCAGCCTCCTTGAGACCAGCTGTTTGCTGGAAACAACTGACCATTTATTTGTTATGCTGATACAAATGTGTGTGTGGGTGGGTGGGTGTGTGGTTTGTCAGCTGGGGAATTTGATTGTGGCTAAATTTTATTGTTTACTCACTGGGTAGCAACAGCCATAGTCGTGTAGACCCTTTTCTCCAGCCACCACATAGTTGTAACAGAATTTATAGTCCTAAAAATGGGAGTTACTGTAATGGACACATTTTAACTATCATTCCTGGAGGTGCCCTTTATTGTTTTTATTTGGAAAAATGGGTTTTGACATCTCTCAGAGTGAAACGATTCTATCAGTGCTCTGCTTTATTGTGTTTCTCAAGTGCTGCACCACTGAGCACCCATGGATTCATACAAGCAACAGAGAGGATGTGTTAATGACATTCAGTTGTTATCAGTAATAAAGAACTGTTACATTTTGGTATCACTATATTAATTGATCTTACTAAGCCATGTAAATTTGCTGTTGTGCTGAAACTGTTAAAATCTTACCTCATTTTCTATACCACTTAGTCCTGAACGGGGCCACGGGGGGGCTGGAGCCAGTCCCAGCCGGCATTAGGCGAAAGGCGGGGTACACCCTGGACAGGTCGCCTGGTCCATTGCAGGGCCAACACATAGACCAACAACCAAACACACACACATCCACACCTACGGGCAATTTTGAGTCACCAATCAACCAAAACCGCATGTCTTTTGACAGTGGGAGGAAGCCGGAGTACCCGGAGAGAACCCACGCAAGCACGGGGAGAACATGAAACTGTTAAAATGTACAATTAAAACTAATTCATAATCTGTTAATTACAGCACACTGAAGTGGAACTGTGCCCAATTTTATGTTCTGCAATTCTTTGGTAGACCATCATATAAACTGAATCATGTATCAGTTACCTGTCCACATACTGTACTGTGATTTCTCTTTGGACAAACTTATTGTGAAAGCATGCAATGAAACAGTTTGGTTTGGCTGAAGTTTATTCATTATATTGGTTACCTGGGTTTCTCAGCCATGAAAGTCTGACATGATACTGTACCCATCACTCCCAGGGGCAATAACATTTGCTCATACACTACTGGTCCAAAGTTTTATAACACCTCTCTTTTTCTAGTTATTACTTTAATTCAGGAGCTGAATACTTTGAAAAGGTAAAATGATCATTTTCCAAATGAAGAATTCTATTTTCCATGGTCTGAAGAGTGGCAGCTTGCTTGTTCTGGTACAGTCTAGGGACCACAGCAGGCTCCATCTGAGCCACTGAGGGCTGTTGTCTGTCAGCTACCTCACCCTCCCTAATTTACATACACACAGGTTGAAAATGAAAGATTTTTTTTCAATAGTTTTTTTTCTACATTTTGGGTAAAATATATTTCTAAAGAACACACCTGTGGCATTCTTTCTACAACTGAAATCAAATGTTTTTCTGATAGATAGCACTGCTGCGTAAGTTTCCACAAATGTGTTGCACTTGTAGGTTGTCTAGCTTTTGCTCTTCATCTGGAAAGTCTGGACAGTGTTCTGGCCATTCCATCATTTGAATCCGACCGTATTTTTTTTTGCTTCTACACAGCCTGGAGAGATGTGTTTGGGTCATTATCCTGCTATAGGATGAAACCCTAAAAAGGTCTGACTTCCTTTGTTAATTGGCATTTTTTAAATAATGCTTCAGAGGGGACAAAAACTGTTTTTTCCACCTCTGTCTTTGTACATTTGTTGTTGTAAGTAATCAACCAAAGCGGGAACACCTGTGGGATTAGTTTGCATCAATTTTCAAAGCTAAATTTATTTCCACTGCTGCAGAACAGATGGAATTTAACCAATTACTTGATCCCCGAAAAAGGCCTGTTTTACGTCAAATTTACATACCGTTTTATTTTTGGTGACTTTTTTTTCCCTCTGGCACTTTACTTTTTAGCTTTAGTTTCTACACTGAACTTGAACTGCTTAAACATAAATAAAAACATAAAGTTGGTGTTTTAAAACTTTGACTGGTTGTGTAAGAACTAATTGTATGACCACAAACAAAGTGTGTAAACGGTAAAAATGTAGAGCACAACAGCAATGTTTTCCTCTTCCATACAGGGAACCCAGGTGTAGTGGGCTTCTACATGACCTTCATGCAAACACTTCATAACATGTTTGGATACCGCCACCCAGTGTGGGCTGTGAGTCATGCTGGCCACTGTGCACCTCCAGACTCTATGGATATGGTAGAAGGTAGTGATTATTCTCAAATTCCTTACACTTAAGGGTTTCCACAGTGATTGAAGCTAGAAAACTATTAAATTTAACAGGAATTGGGTGGGTTGGGGACAGATGGAGTAATTCAGGCTAGCTAAACATGAAAAACAGCATCTTCAGTGCCCCTGAAAGTACTCTGGGATTTTTGTACATGTCTTGAAGTAAGATATATCCAAACATGTTACCTAGAGTATAGAGGGAAATGTATCACTCTAAGCTACAGTATTAGAGCTTAATATGTGGACTTGTGAACAAATTAGATATAGACACCACAAGTTTAGGTTTTTTAAAATTTCTTTCTACAGATATGACCTTGGCAGCAGAGGTGGATGTGTTTGGTCTGAGTGGGCAGGTTGAACACAAGCTGGGCTTCCTCAGGGAAAATCTTCCCAGAGAAACCAGCCTGGTCCTGGTTGGACACTCCATTGGCTGCTACATTATTCTAGAGATGATGAAGAGAGATCCTGAACTCAAGGTTAGTCAGTACATCTCAAAACATGGGTGCTGAAACTGAAAAGATTTCATGTTTTGTGACTTCCTAATCATGGTTTTGTTCTGTTCTATCAAATCTGTGGCTCGAACTCAGAAATCTGTCAGATGATGCTGTTAAAACACCCTCTGTCTTCTCTCCATGTTAAATGGTGGCACGCTAAATTACATGAAAAACTCTGTTTCTATTCAGTTTCCATAATTTACAAGTTCTTATCTCAGAGCAAATGTTTCAATCCTACAATTGGTCTGTTTTATTTAACCCAGGTTCTGAAGGCCGTCATGCTGTTTCCCACCATTGAACGCATGGCTCAGACCCCTCAGGGGAAGGTCATGACCCCTGTGCTGTGTCACATGCGTTACGTGGCCTACCTGCCTCTCTTTCTGCTCTCTCTGCTGCCAGACAGACTCAAAAGCAGCCTGATCAAACTGGTGCTTGGTGGCATTCGTTATCTGGACCTCACTGTAGTCCAGCCTGCTGTAGGTCTACTCAGTGGAGACAGTGCAGGTTGGTAAAGCTTTGTTACTCACCTTCACTTATCCTAGTACAGTATGTTCACTTTTTGTTGAGAATGGACATGGTGGATCAGCCACATAAAGGAAACGATGTACAGAGAATGGCTGCAGTTTAAATGGGTCATCATCATAGTGGACAGTGCTTCTTGGATACATTTTCTGTTAGCTTTTTTGGGATCAGACCCAATCAAGATACATGATGTGTAAATGGAGTCTTATGGTGTTTTTCCATCAGCACAGTTCAGCCAGCTTTTATCGTGTGGGTGACATGCGTTGGCCTACATTTCCATCTGTTTGTCAGCAGGGGGTAATCGTACTGACTCGGGTTCAGCCTGCCAAGTGGGGCCGAGCTCTGCCTTCAACAAAGCTGGCTGAAATGTTGCTACATTCAGCATTCACTTTTTAATTAAGATTTAAAAATGGAGTCTCTCATTTGGTCTTCTCATGAGGGGTCTAAATAATGCCTGGTACCAAGGGCTTCATGTTGAAAGCTACTGACACTACACCAACACAGTGAGTTAAAATGCTCTGCAAATACAGTATATTAGGAGAGGTTTGGAACAAGTGGGGGTTGATGTTTGTTTTTCTAAATATCTTCAGACTTGCATTACATGCATCAGCACATGAAAGAACTAATGCCCGTCTCTGATCTCTTACTTCTGAATTGCACCAGACCCCACATCTGTGGTTCAAACTACAGGCTGTATCTATCTTTGAATATCCCTATTATGCATGAATTTAATATAAGAATTAGAGCAATGACAAAACAAATGCAACTGTCTCTCTCTTTGTAGCAAATGGTATGTACATGGGCAGTCAAGAAATGAGGAAAGTTCTGGAAAGAGACAATGTAACCATCAGGAAAAATCTTGAAAAGGTAAGATAGATACCTGCAGAATTCTGTTGAGACATTTATGTGTTAAACAGCTACCAGTCAACATTTGATAGCATAGTGTAAGAATAAAAGGCTGAGCTTGAACTGACTACTGTATTCTTTTTCAACACCAGTGAATGTTTACATAATCTATATATCTGTCCTGTTTTCAGCTTATATTTTATTATGGTGCTTCAGACCACTGGTGCCCTGTCCAGTATTACCATGACATCAAGCAGGACTTCCCAAATGGAGATATCAGAATGTGTAAAAACGGGTTTCGCCACGCTTTTGTTCTGGATGCAGGAAGAGAAGTTGCCAAAATGGTGGTAGAATGGATCCATGGAGATTTGAGGACATGAGTTTTTGTTTTTTGCCCCCCACCGTGACCCCCGTTTGGGATTACTTTTCATTTACTAATGGCCATGAAGACCTACAAGCAATGTTTAGTGACAAAACTGGATTTTTTTGTCTTGCACTGGAAAGATGATCAAATGTTAATTTAATATATATTGTACTGTATTTATAAAATACGATAATGTTGTTTGGTTTGGAATTAGCAAAAAAAAGTAAGTAAGAGAGAAAGAATGAATCTGTCTTTGCTGCAGTAATGATTCCAGACTCTATGGAACTAATTCATGTATTTGATTAAAACCCTGTGGTGTTCAACATCAGCCTCCAAAAAAGAAGCAGGAAACCGCCAAAGCCACTACTGAAGCATTTTTCATGTTAGAACATGGCAGGTTTGAATATTCAAGTTGAACAAATGATGACAAGAGGTTTAACAAAGGACACATCTGTGACCTATGGGTAGGGCAGCCTTCTTAAGTGTCATGTGAATATTTTATTTGTCACATGTTCCAGCCTTCAACCTCCCCTCACACAATGAGAGTTCTTCTCTAAAGTTCAAGGCCCTGAAAACATGGTTTCAAATAGGCTGTTCTTCTCTAACCTAACAGTCTGTTAGACATTCTTTGTGCTACTGAAATCCACAGCTCTCCACCACCATGTTCTCATGATACTTACAGGCTTCACTGTTGCCTGAGTCAGTGTAGACAGTGCTGATAGAAATGAGCCTGGAGGGGTTACTTATAGAGTTAATGATACAGAGGCATATAATGTATATGCTTCATTAAATGCCACAATGTTCCCACTGGACTAAATATTCAAACCCAAATCCCATGTTTTTCTAAGACTTCATTATTAAATGAAATGCAGATTTTATGGATTTTGTGCACATCTCCACAAATTTTAATCTATCCTAAACTGTTTTGGCATCTTTGCAAATATTGGGGCACTAAAATCAATGCAGTGCTTTAGGGATTTGAACAATACCCACCCACAGTTTTGGTTTTGCTGTCTTCTTATGGTAAATCTGATTGTGACTGCACATGGGCCCAGAGAAATTGGGTTGACCTTCCTGTTGTAAGCAGGCAGACTGTAGTATAACTGTTAACCACACACTAAGCCTAAGTATTAAGAACACCCCTGACTACAGTGGATTCTGCTTTTTAGCAAGGTGACAAGTACTATGATACCACTGCAAAGGAGGACTGTAGTACCAATTGCAAACATCCCCTGCAGTGTCATCTCGCTATGTGAGCTTTACACCAGGTGGTCAGAGTCACTGCTACAACTCCTCTTCCTCTTCCCACTCTCACCATCTGCTTGTCTGTACCCAACAGTCTGTCCTGCATCAGTCCTTTGGTGAGGAGAAGGTGTCTCTGGGAAGCTCTGCCAAGGTGCCAGCACCTGTCGGACAGTCACATTCACTCTGGAGCTCTGGATGTATCTGGAGCATACCGCCCAGTCTTCCTCTGACACTGACTCCACCACTGTGCTGGCTTGCAGGGAGGCAGCCATGCTGCAGCCTTCCATCTCTAAAGTTGTATGTCCCTGTGGTGCTGGGACGATGCGTGGGACAGCATGGTAAAGGAGGCGGCTCTGTCCCGACATTACCATCATGTCGCCACTGTTCATGTACATAGCTGTGGGGGGGTCCTGTCTGTGTGTGCCTCCCAGGAGGAAGATGGCCGACTGGCCAAAACTATCAGAAAAGACAGCAAGACACAATTGCTGGTACAATAAAACAAACATCAGAAAAAAAAATAACTGCACTGACATTGTACAACCCGTAACTGTGTAGAGGATTTCCTTCCTCTCAGCACTGTTTTCCCCTCTCACCTGAATGACAGCAGTGGCCGGCTGTGATCTAGTTCTGATTCGTCCACATGGATTCCCAGAGAGGAATCAGCTCGGTAGTAGTTAAGGATTCCAGCCTCTGCATTGAACCCTGGAAACCCACAGGCGGCTGATATTTGGAAGGACAGCATGTGGAGATCAGCTGGGAAAGGAGTGCAGTGGGTGGCAGAGTAAGTCTGGGAGTGGAACAACAGAGCACACATTTGGACCATTTCACCAAAAGAGATATATTGTAACAGGCTGTGAAATATCAAATAATACATTTTTACAAACTTGTTCAAAGACAGAAGTCCTTGCATACAAGACTTTGGGCAAATTTTTCAAAATAAAAACATCACAAAAACTGTAAATGGCCAAAAAAATTACATTTGGTAGAGGTAGTACACAATGTGGCTTACCTTGGTGTCCCAGTTGTAATGATATCCCAGAGTGACCCAGCGCAGCCTCTCCAGTAGAGTCTTTGGCTGTCTGTTTCCAGAAGGAGGAAAGCTGTGGGGGGTAGCAAACAGAGCTCACACTTAGAGAAGCAAGCTGCAGGGAACCAGGACCAGTACACTGTAACTAAACAGGTCAAGCTTCTGAAAGAGAACTGTAGCAGTGCATGTAACACTCTCAGTCTCGTGATGGACAGTTAGAAAAAAAGTTGCAGCAGAGTCAGAGATATTGCATTTTTTATTCCATGCATTCTTCTTCCTTTTCAAAATCTGGTGCCCTCGATACTCAAAACGCAACTCACATGCCAACAGTTTGGTCAGAGATTTGCGTGTGCTAGTAGCAGCTGTTGTAGCCTGAAGCTTCTAGACTTGAGCAGAGATGAGGAATGGGCTACAGAGGTTCTTCCTCCATACACAATTTTTTTTTTACTTTTCAAAGTAGAGATTGAGCAGAAACTTCTGGCACAACTTGACCCGCTGTCAAGTAGCACAAACAAGGGAAAAAAGAAAGTGGAAAAGAAGTCCAGCAACACTTGCAACAACACAAAGCCGTTGTTTGGATAAAATGTTGTTTATAAAGAGAGGGAACTTTCGTGGGATTTGGAGTGAAAGAGAGCGAAGCCTACCTATGGATGAGAAACACTAGCATTTATTCCCCAATTAAACAATTCGGATTTAATCCAAACTATCAGGATGAAATTCCTTAAAATTAAAATATGTTGGGATGAAACAGCTGTGGGTCCTGAAATAAGACAATTAATTGCAATATTAATTTAATTAAAGAGAATGAACGTATCAGACCAATATTAATTACAGAAAAGAGAGTTAATTCTGTTTTAATCCAAACTATCAGGCTGAACTCCCTTAAAATTAGACTGTTGGTGTGTAACAACCACCCTTCCCGAATTAAGATAATTATTTGCAATATAAATTAAATTAAAGAAAGGAAATTTAATTCAGTTACAAACACACAATGTGACCACTGTAGCACATTTGCTTAAAGCCACTACACACCAGTGTCACGCTAGGGCAAGGGAAGACAATTAAACTGTGCTGGCTGAGAAACAAGAGCTTCTTCTATGTTAAAAAAAATTCTTCTTTACATCTAAACTATTGGTGGTAAACGTTATTGAAACTAAACTCTGGTGAATTAAGTAAAAGAGAGAAAAACATAAATCCTTATTTATTCCAAACAATCAGACTGAAATTAAGCTATGCTGTGGGGAGAAACAAGAGCCTCTACTAAGTTAAAAAGAATTATTCCTTATTATCCCAGTGTGGGAGCCCAGACTTTGGCTCTCTATACACTGGGATGGAAACTTAACCTGCACATTTTGCAACAGATAGCTCCTACTGTTTACCCAGCCTTATAAATCAGAGCCATTTCAAAAACCATGATGTTGTGTGACCTCTTTGCCACAATGTCATTGTCCTGCGTGTCTGACTCTCTTTACAGTCACACAGTTTTTTATGCTCTTCACAACTGTGTTTTATCCATGATGTGACTTTACACATGTCAGCTAAATAAGTGGACTGCTGTAATTGAGTGACTGTGCAGAGAGCTAACCCAAATCCAGAACAGACAGTTATCAAAATTTGCTCATCACTTTATCATTGTTGTACAATTTTTGGAATGATTATCAAGACTGTTTTGCAATTTCACCCTGCTTTCAACTAAAATTTTTAAGGAATGACAACAACATTTAAGTAGGCCAGGTCAGAACTGTCTAAGGGAAGGAGTACAGCTAGTATCACCTGAGGCCATGTACGCTCTTGCCCCAGATGTCCTGGGTGTCAGAGGGAGACATGTGCATGTCCAGGTTGCAAACGTTGGGCTTCTGAGGATAGACCTTCAGACATTGTCTGACCCAGAATGGTTGGGAGCCCCTCAGGAAAGGGTTGGAAATGAAGATGAATCCTGAACAACATACAGAAACAGAAAGTGATAAAATGTTTAAGAAAGTTTACCTTACTGTTAAATGTGGTCTCACTGAAGCACTGGATTGAATGAAAATCACATGCTATGGCTTTTACAGCCGCCAGATCTCAACCCAGCTGAACAGCTATGAGAGAGTTTGGAATCATGTTTTAGAAAACAATCCTCATCAAAGTCATCAAAGTTCCAAATTAGGGAATATACACTGCTCAAAAAAATAAAGGGAACACTTAAACAACACAATGTAACTCCAAGTCAATCACACTTCTGTGAAATCAAACTGTCCACTTAGGTAGCAACACTGATTGACAATCAATTCCACATGCTGTTGTGCAAATGGAATAGACAACAGGTGGAAAGCATAGGCAGGTAGCAAGACATCCCCAATAAAGGAGTGGTTCTGCAGGTGGTGACCACAGACCACTTCTCAGTTCCTATGCTTTCTGGCTGATGGTTTGGTCACTTTTGAATGCTGGCGGTGCTTTCACTCTAGTGGTAGCATGAGACGGAGTCTACAACCCACACAAGTGGCTCAGGTAGTGCAGCTCATCCAGGATGGCACATCAATGCGAGCTGTGGCAAGAAGGTTTGCTGTGTCTGTCAGTGTAGTGTCCAGAGCATAGAGGCGCTACCAGGAGACAGGCCAGTACATCAGGAGATGTGGAGGAGGCCGTAGGAGGGCAACAACCCATCCACAGGTGGGGGTTGTGCTTACAGCCCAACACCGTGCAGCACGTTTGGCATTTGCCAGAGAACACCAAGATTGGCAAATCCGCCACTAACACCCTGTGCTCTTCACAGATGAAAGCAGGTTCACACTGAGCACATGTGACAGACGTGACAGGGTCTGGAGACGCCGTGGAGAACGTTCCGCTGCCTGCAACATCCTCCAGCATGACCGGTTTGGCAGTGGGTCAGTAATGGTGTGGGGAGGCATTTCTTTAGGGGGCCGCACAGCCCTCCATATGCTCGCCAGAGGTAGCCTGACTGCCATTAGGTACCGAGATGAGATCCTCAGACCCCTTGTGAGACCATATGCTGATGCGGTTGGCCCTGGGTTCCTCCTAATGCAAGACAATGCTAGACCTCATGTGGCTGGAGTGTGTCAGCAGTTCCTGCAAGACGAAGGCATTGATGCTATGGACTGGCCCGCCCATTCCCCAGACCTAAATCCAATTGAGCACATCTGGGACATCAGGTCTCGCTCCATTCACCAACGCCACGTTGCACCACAGACTGTCCAGGAGTTGGGGGATGCTTTAGTCCAGGTGTGGGAGGAGATCCCTCAGGAGACCATCCACCACCTCATCAGGAGCATGCCAAGGCGTTGTAGGGAGGTCATACGGGCACGTGGAGGCCACACACACTACTGAACCTCATTTTGACTTGTTTTGAGGACATTACATCAAAGTTGGATCAGCCTGTAGTGTTGTTTTCCACTTTAATTTTGGGTGTCACTCCAGATCCAGACCTCCATGGGTTGCTAAATTTGATTTCCATTGATAATTTCTGTGTGATTTTGTTGTCAGCACATTCAACTATGTAATGAACAAGGTATTTAATAAGAATATTTCATTTATTTAGATCTAGGATGTCTTATTTTTGTGTTCCCTTTATTTTTTTGAGCAGTGTACTTTGAAATAATGCTGTGTATCCCTCCAATAAAGCTCCAAACACTATGAGGATTTATGACAAGGAGCATAAACTGTGAAGAACTGTGGTGGAGCAACATCTTACTTTATGTTGTGTTTCCCTGTCACCTGACATCTATCTCTATTTTGTTCCATGTCCGTTTTCTCTCCAAGCAATCACTTGAATTTAGTTGTGGTCTGAGAGTGGGTTGAACTGTTGGTGTTTGGGTATGAATTTGGTAAAGAACCATCTGTTTTTCCATCTGTCCTGTGTTTACCTGGGTAGCCCTTTAGGCCGAAGGCTCTCCAGTCTCTGACAGGCTGTAATCCAACCCTGGCAGCCTCCACATCACTCACTGCAGCAAGGTCCAGTTTAAGTGGAAGCACCTATCAATAGCACAGACACAAACACAAAGGAAAATCAACCATTAAGTCTAGGCACAATTTGTCCTCTCGGACAGTTCTCTTTGTTAAGTTAAGTACATGCTATGTAGACTTACTGACCTGGAAAATGAGTGACCCCTGTGAATTCTATAGCAACTCAATACAACCATTCTGGCACAAATCTGTCCTTCATGAAACTTAAAATACTAGAGTCTGCTTCAGGGAAGATGACTGAGTCACAGCATTATAAGGTACGGCTAATATTTTGTCCACTGTTATTTATGACACACTCCTATGGCAGCCCTGTTTATTATAAAAACTTCCTATGTTACCCATGCAAAGAGTACATACCCCGTGGCTTGACCAGCTGTGTATCTACATTGCATGTGCATGTGTGATTGTGGGAATGCAGGCAAATCTACAGGGTCATCAGGTGGTTACCTTCTCAATAACTGGAGTTTTATAGAATTGGGCCAACACTGTAGCAAACGCAGAAAAATATCAGGATGCCCTTTGACTATGACTTGCACCTTATTATGAAAATGCTTCCCACAGTAGGTCAGATGGTAAAAACCAAATGTATTTGATAAATCTAAGATTACCACATGCAAGTCTCTTCCCTTCTTTGCTGAATAAATTTGATGCCAGGTCATGCTTGTGTACTCCATGTATCCAGTATTCTGCCTTTCTGTACCGAGGGGCTGAGAAGCTTTCTAGGTAACGTTAGCTTGCCATCCTCTGTGCCACTACACTGAAGTAAATCTTACCTTCTTCAATGAGAAGGAGATAAGCATAAAAGTGAACAGAATCTTCTCTGAAACAGTAAACACAAATTGAACATTATCACCGTCATAAAGGAGAATTTACTGCAGGGCTGTTTAAATAATAGGGGAACATAATTTAAGATAAATACTGAACTTCCATGGGAATTCATTCAGTCTTTGATGCATTAATTATGTATTATCACAGTAGGTGAACCTAACACATTTACAACCAAGTATGTAACACCATCTTGTCTGCTGTTAGCTTATCTTGCTTTCACTTGCCATTAGCAAGACCAATTGGTCTCTCACATTAATGTATGATTAACTCCTGCTTCAAGGTTTCCAGAAGGTTTATACACAAACACCAATGGGCAAATCAGATTCAGACCGAATCACGTAGTTCTTGTAAATCCCTCCTTTTGTTCTCTGTTTTATATTTCTCTGACCTTGTCACTAGGTACAACTCTAGAGAAGTCAATGACATCGCAGAAATCCGGAGGAGGGTTTCTTCTCTTGTAAAACTTGAATATTTTTCTAAACGCATCTTCTCCACTCTGCACCATGGAGGCTGCCATCTTAGCCATGACGTAAATAACCTTTCAACTTAAGTTTGTGCCGGAGCTTTTCTAACCAAATTATCCTATCAATTTTAAATAATACATATTCACACAATCTAAGTAATTTAAGAATACTTAACAAGATATGCCTACAGTTATTTTTTTTCAAAAATATTGCTCATGTAGCTGTCACATAGTTTACGTCAGTTTACATCACATGATTCAATGTCATAGGTCATAGTGACATTCCGAGGAGGAAACATGGCGATGGCGGCGAAGAGAGTTTTCGAGGTCTTTGTGTCTAAAGTGCCATGGACTGTAGCCGGCAGTAAGTAAAGGGGTCAAGTTATCACTCATGATTAATAGTCTGTAGCCACTCGCTTTGTTTTGTATATCGTGCTATACTGTGTGCAACTTTGCCATCAGACACGCCGTTTAACATTAGCCTCTGCATGTGAGGAGAGCAAGTTAACGCGTGAACGGAAAGAAGTTATTGGAGAACATTTTTACCGGGTGTAGTGGTGTTTTGTAACTTATAACTTATAACTTATAACGTTGCTGTAGCTCCAGACACCCTAACCCCCTGGCCACCCTTAACTACATAACTTGTTAAGGTACCGTAGAATATAGGCTAATTATGAACATTTACTTGGCTAAATACTGTACTTAAGTATAAAGATACTTATACTTTAACGTTACTTTAGCCTTTTTCCTGTTTGGCCATATTTATACCTTTGCTTCAGGTTTTGTTTAAACTATATTAGAGAGGTTTGGATTCAACTGTGGTCATTTTTTGAAACTTCGCTTGAATTGTATCGTGTTATATTGACAGTTGCCTCTATTATTTTATACACGTGTATAGTGCAGGTTCAACAAAAACGAAACATTAAAACATTAACGAATGTACGATTATAACAGGACTTTTAGATTACACTGCACAGGTTTTAGCTAGGTGTACCTAACAAAATGAGTGTAAAAGTGTTAGTAATGCTGGAGCAGTCCTGGTAGTTTAGGTCTTAAGACATGAATAATTGAGTCAAGTGTAGTGAAACTGTTACATGACGTCCCATTTATTTTTCAGAGGACATGAAGGAGTACTTTGGACAGTTTGGCTCAGTGAAGAAGTGTGTCCTACCATTTGTAAGTTGTCACAGAATTTGAATGACTTCCTGACTGGATCATTCTACTGTGTATTCATCTGTATGTTTTATTTATTGGTTCTGTTTGTACAGTATATGTTATAGTTTTTGTTCATATTGCAGTTACACACCTTATTACTGCACTACCACTTAGATGTTTTGTCCATTCTGTACATTAATTCATTGATATATCTATATGTACCCTGCTCCTGTTTGCACTTGTTACATGCAAAACTCCTTTTTGTGGAACTTATTTAGTTTGCGCAGTGACAGTAAAGATGAATGGAATCTAAATAGCTTTAAAGCAAGTTTTACCACCAATAACTACCAACCTACCAACATCATCAGCAATGACCACCATTCATTCCTATTCATACCATAGATTTTTAGATGTTTGTGTGCTATTCCTTTCAGCCATTGCATCTTTTATTTATTCAGTATGTTACTTTACAGAGACGTAATACTTTACCTTCTCAATAACTGGAGTTTTATAGAATTGGGCCAACACTGTAGCAAACGCAGAAAAATATCAGGATGCCCTTTGACTATGACTTGCACCTTATTATGAAAATGCTTCCCACAGTAGGTCAGATGGTAAAAACCAAATGTATTTGATAAATCTAAGATTACCACATGCAAGTCTCTTCCCTTCTTTGCTGAATAAATTTGATGCCAGGTCATGCTTGTGTACTCCATGTATCCAGTATTCTGCCTTTCTGTACCGAGGGGCTGAGAAGCTTTCTAGGTAACGTTAGCTTGCCATCCTCTGTGCCACTACACTGAAGTAAATCTTACCTTCTTCAATGAGAAGGAGATAAGCATAAAAGTGAACAGAATCTTCTCTGAAACAGTAAACACAAATTGAACATTATCACCGTCATAAAGGAGAATTTACTGCAGGGCTGTTTAAATAATAGGGGAACATAATTTAAGATAAATACTGAACTTCCATGGGAATTCATTCAGTCTTTGATGCATTAATTATGTATTATCACAGTAGGTGAACCTAACACATTTACAACCAAGTATGTAACACCATCTTGTCTGCTGTTAGCTTATCTTGCTTTCACTTGCCATTAGCAAGACCAATTGGTCTCTCACATTAATGTATGATTAACTCCTGCTTCAAGGTTTCCAGAAGGTTTATACACAAACACCAATGGGCAAATCAGATTCAGACCGAATCGCGTAGTTCTTGTAAATCCCTCCTTTTGTTCTCTGTTTTATATTTCTCTGACCTTGTCACTAGGTACAACTCTAGAGAAGTCAATGACATCGCAGAAATCCGGAGGAGGGTTTCTTCTCTTGTAAAACTTGAATATTTTTCTAAACGCATCTTCTCCACTCTGCACCATGGAGGCTGCCATCTTAGCCATGACGTAAATAACCTTTCAACTTAAGTTTGTGCCGGAGCTTTTCTAACCAAATTATCCTATCAATTTTAAATAATACATATTCACACAATCTAAGTAATTTAAGAATACTTAACAAGATATGCCTACAGTTATTTTTTTTCAAAAATATTGCTCATGTAGCTGTCACATAGTTTACGTCAGTTTACATCACATGATTCAATGTCATAGGTCATAGTGACATTCCGAGGAGGAAACATGGCGATGGCGGCGAAGAGAGTTTTCGAGGTCTTTGTGTCTAAAGTGCCATGGACTGTAGCCGGCAGTAAGTAAAGGGGTCAAGTTATCACTCATGATTAATAGTCTGTAGCCACTCGCTTTGTTTTGTATATCGTGCTATACTGTGTGCAACTTTGCCATCAGACACGCCGTTTAACATTAGCCTCTGCATGTGAGGAGAGCAAGTTAACGCGTGAACGGAAAGAAGTTATTGGAGAACATTTTTACCGGGTGTAGTGGTGTTTTGTAACTTATAACTTATAACTTATAACGTTGCTGTAGCTCCAGACACCCTAACCCCCTGGCCACCCTTAACTACATAACTTGTTAAGGTACCGTAGAATATAGGCTAATTATGAACATTTACTTGGCTAAATACTGTACTTAAGTATAAAGATACTTATACTTTAACGTTACTTTAGCCTTTTTCCTGTTTGGCCATATTTATACCTTTGCTTCAGGTTTTGTTTAAACTATATTAGAGAGGTTTGGATTCAACTGTGGTCATTTTTTGAAACTTCGCTTGAATTGTATCGTGTTATATTGACAGTTGCCTCTATTATTTTATACACGTGTATAGTGCAGGTTCAACAAAAACGAAACATTAAAACATTAACGAATGTACGATTATAACAGGACTTTTAGATTACACTGCACAGGTTTTAGCTAGGTGTACCTAACAAAATGAGTGTAAAAGTGTTAGTAATGCTGGAGCAGTCCTGGTAGTTTAGGTCTTAAGACATGAATAATTGAGTCAAGTGTAGTGAAACTGTTACATGACGTCCCATTTATTTTTCAGAGGACATGAAGGAGTACTTTGGACAGTTTGGCTCAGTGAAGAAGTGTGTCCTACCATTTGTAAGTTGTCACAGAATTTGAATGACTTCCTGACTGGATCATTCTACTGTGTATTCATCTGTATGTGTTTTATTTATTGGTTCTGTTTGTACAGTATATGTTATAGTTTTTGTTCATATTGCAGTTACACACCTTATTACTGCACTACCACTTAGATGTTTTGTCCATTCTGTACATTAATTCATTGATATATCTATATGTACCCTGCTCCTGTTTGCACTTGTTACATGCAAAACTCCTTTTTGTGGAACTTATTTAGTTTGCGCAGTGACAGTAAAGATGAATGGAATCTAAATAGCTTTAAAGCAAGTTTTACCACCAATAACTACCAACCTACCAACATCATCAGCAATGACCACCATTCATTCCTATTCATACCATAGATTTTTAGATGTTTGTGTGCTATTCCTTTCAGCCATTGCATCTTTTATTTATTCAGTATGTTACTTTACAGAGACGTAATACTTTGGAGTTATCCGTCCTAGTAAAGATGATATCTAGTTATAGTTTTGTCAGACTTGCAAAATGTTGCATGGGTTGCCTGTGTGTTTCACTGTGCACTGTGTGTTGTACCAGGACAAAGAAACAGGGTTTCACAAAGGCTACTGCTGGGTTAGATTCACAACAGAGGAAGGACTTAACAACGCACTTCAGAAAGACCCACACATCCTGGAGGGAGCCAAGGTAAATGATCTGCATCACCTAGCAAGACCTTGTGGGTACCGAAATCTTTACTAACACAACAGACAGCAGTGGAATCTGGGGTTGCTGTAGTTGGGGGGCGACAGCGGTGCAGTGGGTAGAGCAGTCATCTCCCAACCGGAAGGTGGAGGGCTTGAATCTCGGTGCCCCCCACTGAGCCCCCAAGTTGCCCGTGATGGCGGCACGTATGTACGCAGCGGCCCTCAGCTCCAAACAAAATTTTGTTTCACATTGACAGTAAAATAAAGCTGCTTCTTCTTAAAACACACCGGCTTGAGAACATAACCAGGGTTTGACCATTTTAGTCTCATGTTGCTCTGACACTTGACCACAGCTGATGGGTGAAAACTGATGCCAAAAATGATTACATTTCAGTAATGTGTGGCAGAACCTGAAAATATTCATATTATCTATATGCATCATATGGATCCTAATTGATTCCCTCTGTTTTTTTTGTTTTCAGCTCCAGGTTCAGAGGAAAAGACATCTATTTATAGGACAGAATTCACATAGTGAATATGATTGAAGCTCTTTACTGTGTTGATGACAGACAAAGATGTGTTATTGTCAGGCCCTTATTCACTAAGAGTGTGCTCTTGCTCTGGCTGCTTCACCTGCTTGATAGTTGAAATTTTGCACCTTTGGCCTATAAAGAAACTTAAGTGAACTGGGATCATTGTCTATATTTCCGTTCAGAAATCTCTGTATGACCTGACTGTCTTCCTTCTTTTAGACAGCATCACTTAATTTGGGCCTGAGCACATTATTTTAGTGGATTGCCCAGTAGTAATGTCTTTATATATTGTCAGTGTTAGTTTTGTGACTCCTGTGACCATCTTGTCCTGCACCATTAACAACACATAGCAGGTTAATGCCAACCTATAAGGTTTATGAAACATCACTTACTGATATTGTGACAATAAAACATTTAAAACCCTTGTGTTGTGTCTAAACATTAAAACATTACGATTATAACAGGACTTTTAGATTACACTGCACAGGTTTTAGCTAGGTGTACCTAACAAAATGAGTGTAAAAGTGTTAGTAATGCTGGAGCAGTCCTGGTAGTTTAGGTCTTAAGACATGAATAATTGAGTCAAGTGTAGTGAAACTGTTACATGACGTCCCATTTATTTTTCAGAGGACATGAAGGAGTACTTTGGACAGTTTGGCTCAGTGAAGAAGTGTGTCCTACCATTTGTAAGTTGTCACAGAATTTGAATGACTTCCTGACTGGATCATTCTACTGTGTATTCATCTGTATGTGTTTTATTTATTGGTTCTGTTTGTACAGTATATGTTATAGTTTTTGTTCATATTGCAGTTACACACCTTATTACTGCACTACCACTTAGATGTTTTGTCCATTCTGTACATTAATTCATTGATATATCTATATGTACCCTGCTCCTGTTTGCACTTGTTACATGCAAAACTCCTTTTTGTGGAACTTATTTAGTTTGCGCAGTGACAGTAAAGATGAATGGAATCTAAATAGCTTTAAAGCAAGTTTTACCACCAATAACTACCAACCTACCAACATCATCAGCAATGACCACCATTCATTCCTATTCATACCATAGATTTTTAGATGTTTGTGTGCTATTCCTTTCAGCCATTGCATCTTTTATTTATTCAGTATGTTACTTTACAGAGACGTAATACTTTGGAGTTATCCGTCCTAGTAAAGATGATATCTAGTTATAGTTTTGTCAGACTTGCAAAATGTTGCATGGGTTGCCTGTGTGTTTCACTGTGCACTGTGTGTTGTACCAGGACAAAGAAACAGGGTTTCACAAAGGCTACTGCTGGGTTAGATTCACAACAGAGGAAGGACTTAACAACGCACTTCAGAAAGACCCACACATCCTGGAGGGAGCCAAGGTAAATGATCTGCATCACCTAGCAAGACCTTGTGGGTACCGAAATCTTTACTAACACAACAGACAGCAGTGGAATCTGGGGTTGCTGTAGTTGGGGGGCGACAGCGGTGCAGTGGGTAGAGCAGTCATCTCCCAACCGGAAGGTGGAGGGCTTGAATCTCGGTGCCCCCCACTGAGCCCCCAAGTTGCCCGTGATGGCGGCACGTATGTACGCAGTGGCCCTCAGCTCCAAACAAAATTTTGTTTCACATTGACAGTAAAATAAAGCTGCTTCTTCTTAAAACACACCGGCTTGAGAACATAACCAGGGTTTGACCATTTTAGTCTCATGTTGCTCTGACACTTGACCACAGCTGATGGGTGAAAACTGATGCCAAAAATGATTACATTTCAGTAATGTGTGGCAGAACCTGAAAATATTCATATTATCTATATGCATCATATGGATCCTAATTGATTCCCTCTGTTTTTTTTGTTTTCAGCTCCAGGTTCAGAGGAAAAGACATCTATTTATAGGACAGAATTCACATAGTGAATATGATTGAAGCTCTTTACTGTGTTGATGACAGACAAAGATGTGTTATTGTCAGGCCCTTATTCACTAAGAGTGTGCTCTTGCTCTGGCTGCTTCACCTGCTTGATAGTTGAAATTTTGCACCTTTGGCCTATAAAGAAACTTAAGTGAACTGGGATCATTGTCTATATTTCCGTTCAGAAATCTCTGTATGACCTGACTGTCTTCCTTCTTTTAGACAGCATCACTTAATTTGGGCCTGAGCACATTATTTTAGTGGATTGCCCAGTAGTAATGTCTTTATATATTGTCAGTGTTAGTTTTGTGACTCCTGTGACCATCTTGTCCTGCACCATTAACAACACATAGCAGGTTAATGCCAACCTATAAGGTTTATGAAACATCACTTACTGATATTGTGACAATAAAACATTTAAAACCCTTGTGTTGTGTCTAATAAATGCTTTTCCTTACAATATAGTATTTTATCTTAAGGTTTCACTACAGTTACTGGAGTAAAGGATTTGAATACTTCCATGACTGTCTATGGACACTGTCACGGGGGGATAGGAGCTGGCTTGAACAAATTAAACCTACATCACAGGCACTAAAATCAGAACTCAACCTTTCAATTGTAGCCTTTCCCCAAGTTTTGTTGTTTCCAACTGGGCTTTGTGGAAAAGAGGAATTTTCTGCAAATTATCTGACACTGGCTCTTAGGCTACTGACCTTAGTAAAACATGAATTAAAGATAAGAAAACATTTTTTACTCCTCACTTAATCTTTTTGGCAAGGTTTTGATGAGATGAGTAGTGTTTATCATGCAAAGATGTTTTTTTTTCTTCCTGCTGCCAGAATTTAGCTGTTATATAACAGGCTGGTATGTTTTATTTTTAACATTTTTCCTTGACATTACACTTTCCTTTGAGGCTTGAGGAAGGTGACTAGGAAAAGAATGCAGCTTTTGAATTTTTTCCAAGTTATAATTTGACGTTTATTTGAATCGCTACATATTTTTGTTTTTCCATTCATTATTTTGGTTTCTTTTAGTCAGCTACTGACCCCTGGTGCGACGCGTATGAAAAACGTCATCGCCGTCGGACGATGTGTAGTTTTTAGCTATCATAAACAGCAATGCATTCTTGCTGTATTAACCATGAATATATTAAAGGGAGTATATAGGAGTTACTGTATGACATTAAGGTATATACTCGACCTTATATACGAGTAACAAAAATAGGCTTTCTATATCAGAGTAGCATGCGTCCTGTTAGCAAGTTTAAACATAGCAGCCGTAATTTCTTGTAGTACTACGTTAACCATAATCCTTTGCTGTCACGTGGAGAACTTTCATGAGGTCAATACAAAACCGGCAATTGAACTGTCAACTCGCGTGGAGACTGGTAAGTTAGGTAGCAATTCCACATGACCTGTTTTATTTGACTGTTGAATGAATTTCAGTCTGCTGTATGGTGTTTGTCTGTTTCAACGCGTTTGTTTCGAAGCGCAGCCAGTCGTTGCATAACATCCCCAATATAGTGTAATGGCTATGTAATGGTTCTGATGTCTACATTGTGTGTTAATGCGATCTGTTACAAATGATCTTAGAACGTGAGACGCCAGTGCTAGTCTACCCAAACCATGAACTTGAATCCCGTCTTTGTCCTTGTTAATTGCTGTTTCGGTTTTGCAGGAGCACAGTTGTGGGGGTGACAGGAGAACTCGCTTTGAGTGTTGTAATTATCAGGAGATCTTTGCAAATACCGAACTGAAAACCGGCTTCTTGTAATGTCCAAAAGGAATTCTATGTAATTTAAGTTTATACAAGCTGGCCAAAACGAGAATTGTATTAAGGCAATACGGTGAACTTGTTTTAAGGGACAATCCACTTATTTTCCAGCTGATGTTCAGTTTGTCATGATTAATAAAACTTACTATGCCTCAAATAAAACTAACCTTGATGATATCTAAGTGTCGCTAGGATTACCTAAGTTTATTAGGAAGACTACAGATATTTTACAGAAACCCTGTAGTACAAATCAATGGAAGCCCATTTCAGCCCCTGGTTGTGAAAAATAAAATGATCCTAGGATGATGATTGTGATTATGATGACTAGCGTGTGCCAACTAGCTTTCTGTTATTGGACTGACTTCTTGTTGTGGCCGGATTGCCATCGACGAATTCATACAGGAGAGATTCAGAATGTGTCTTCACTGTAGCTGCTCCTACAATGTGGAGTTCTCTTCCACTTTAGCTTTGTTCTATAACTGATCTTTCTCGTTTGTTGTATATTGTACATTACCCTATAATCTCTTTCTCTTGTCTGTCGTGTATTGTACATTATCTTACATATCTTACTGGAAATATCAATTCTACCTATCTGTTGGTAAATTAGTTCTGATTACATATTTTAGATATACTGTATTTTATTGCCTTGTACTTTGTTGGACTTAACCGTCCTCCATGTTTGTTTCTGAGGAAGAGTCAAAGTCAGAACAACCTTTGAGATATTTATTACGTCAAGGAAAAGCAATTACAGAGCTCTGTGTTCCACTATTCTGAAGCTCTTTCCAAACATAAGTGTGGCTCAATCTTTCTTCAGAAAAGAGGAGCACCTAATCTTCCTGAATCCAGTAATTAATATAATTTTGAAAAGTGTAATGTGGATTGATCTGGTGCCTCTCGTGCTGTTCCATTGGTCCTTCAGTCCGTCCGTCCTCTCTGGTCCAATCATCCAAGACAGCGCCCTAGAAAGGGGAAGAAATCCTATACTGCCTAAATTCCTACATACACACTCACTTCTTCCTTTGTTTCCAACTACCTGCTACATATTAGGCATTGCTTTCCGTTTCATTAATTAAAACTGTCCTGCCGGTGTGTGTGTGTGTGTGTGTGTGTGTGTGTGTGTGTGTGTGTGCATAATGCTCCTACCATCGAAGCTTTCTCCTCCGCAAGCATCTAATCTCTGTCTCACTAACCTTGGAGTCCCAGTGAACTGCAACTCCCCTGGCTCCACTAGCCCAGTGGTGATAATAAATTCACTGTGGACTCTCTTAGCCAGAGCTGTAAATCTAATGAGATTCAGTAATTTAGTGGACAAGACACTATAATGTTGAACAGTGCTTCAGTGACTAACACAGTAAATATTAACCAGTGGTTCAGTGAACACATAAGGTGATGTGTAACTATGTAAACATAACTGTGACATATAAGTATGTAAACTTATGTATTCTAAAATAAAATCTTAACTGTTCTTTTTCTAATATGATAGAATAGTCATTCACAAACAAAGTGAACACACAGGTTAAATAAGCAACAATCATGGTGTCAATCTTCTACTAAATAAGTACTTAATTCAATCAAATGTTAGAACTGATCCTAGAGTATAACTTTGTTAATAATTTTACTCCACACCTGTCTGTTTCAATTCATGTTTATGTTCAAAAAGCGTTTTGTTTTAGTCTGTTCAATAAATGTTTATCCTGTTCGGCCCGTGACCTAAATTGTGCTTTGGGTTTTGGCCCCCTGTGTGATTGAGTTTGACACCCCTGATCTAGAGTAACTATATAGTTAGATTGTAGATTTCTAAGGTTTTCAGGCCCAAGTACAATATAGTGGAAGCTTGGATTGCAAGTAACCCAGTATGTTTTGCAAGACGAGCAAAAAAATTTGATTCGATATACGAGTGAGGTCTGCAATACGAGTAGTACGTACGCTTTGTCTGCCGAGCATCATGTCACAACTGAGCCGATGGTTCTCGCGCCTCACTCCTATAGTCAATATCTGTACTGCAACCAGCCATGATTCTTTTCAAAGGTAAAGTGCAGGTTAATTTGTTTTATTTTTACTTTATACTGTATTTTGTATTACTGTAATCATTTTTATATGGATAAGTGGGTGTGGAACGAATCATCAGAGTTTCCATTATTTCTTACGGGGACATTCACTTTGATATACGAGTGCATTGGATTACGAGCACATTGCCGGAATGAATTATACTTGCAATCCAAGGTTCCACTGTAACTTCAGTTTTGTCAGAGTTTAGAAGTAAGAAATTATAAGTCATCTAGGCCTTTATGTCTTTAAGACATGCTTGAAGTTTGACCAACTGATCTGATTCATCTGGGTTCATAGATAAATATAATATGCATAGCAATGGAAATTTATGCCGTGTTTCCTGATACCGTAATATTGCCTAAAGGGAGCATGTATAAAGTGAAGAGAATTGGACCTAACACAGAGCTCTGTGGAACGCCGTGACTAACTTCAGTTTGCGTGGAACATTTGTCATTAACATGAACAAATTAAAATCTTTCTGATAAATAAGATTTCAACCAACTTAGTGCTGTTCCTTTAATCCCAATAACATGTTCAAGTCTCTGTAGTACAATGCTGTGATCAGTGGTGTCAAAAGCAGCACTAAGATCTAAGAGGACAAGTATTGAGACAAGTCCTTTGTCTGAGGCTAGGAGAAGATCATTGGTGACTTTCACCAGAGCAGTTTCTGTACTATGATGGACTCTGGGGTTGTTCTTATTTTCTTTTATCAGTGATGAATAATATGTGGTCTCTTTTATATGTTATTAAACTATCTTTCTGGGCTAAGAAAAACTCTTCTGACTTAGTTGAGCACCACCTCTTTTCCAGTTTTTGTGATGCCTACTTTAGGGAGCGGAGCTGTGAGCTGTACCACGGGGCCTCCTCTGTTTCACTGCCTTCTTTTTCAGATGGGCAACAGTATCAAGTGTTGTACGCAGGAAGGCTGCAGCACTATCAACAACATTAGTGACTTATGTGGGAGTGAAGTTAAGGTGTCCGCCCTCCATTGTGTTGGCACATGGCACTGAAGTAAATAATGATGGAATTATTTCCTTAAATTTGGTAACAGCATTGTCAGATAGACATCTACTGTAGTGGAATTGTTTCCCACATAGAGTATAATCCATTAATGTAAATTCAAACGTTAGTAGAAAATGGTCAGACAAAAGAGGGTTTGGGGAAAAAAATTAAGTGTTCAGTTTTGATGCCATATGTCAGAACAAGATCAAGAGTGTGATTAAAACAGTGAGTGGGTTTATTTACAGTTTGACAAAAGCCAATTGAGTCTAATAATAAAGTGAATTGTTGAGGCTGTCATTGTCAGCACCTACATGAATATTAAAGTCACCCACTATGATTATTTTATCTGTACTAAGCACTAAATCAGACAGTCTGAGAATTCACTTAAAAACTCTGAATAAGGGGCAGGCGGACGGTCAACAATAATAAATAGAACAGGCTTTTGAGTTTTCCAGTTTGGGTGTGAGAGACTCAGAGTGAGGTTTTCAAATGAGTTATAACTATGTTTAGGTCTAGGGTTGATTAATAGGCTTGAGTCAAAGATCGCTGCCACACCTCCACCTCGGCCTGTGCTTCAAAGGATGTGACAGTTACTGTGACCAGGTGGGGTGGATTAATTCAGACTGACATGTTCTTCCTGCTGTAACCATGTTTCAGTGAGACACAATAGGTCAATGTGATGTTCACTTATCAAATCATTCACTAACAGAGATTTAGATGAGAGAGATCTGATATTTAAAGCATTAACTAACTCTTTATTAAAACATTCAGTGTTATGGAAAATAACCATATTGACAGATATTCACAAAATTATAGTCTGTACGAAATAAAAAGCTGTTTTGTAATAAAAATAAATGCACGTAACAGTAAGAGTAAAAAAAAAACTGTAAGGACACTTGAAAATTAACTAATTTTTGTATCCAACAAAGCGGTCACGTCACGTTACAAAAATAAACGACTCGAAACCAAGGACTCCAAACTTGAACTGATCTTTAAAAGATTCATTCAAAAACGCATGACTCGAAACCGAGGACTTGAAAGGTGTACTAATCTTATGCGTACTAAATCATGTGCGGTCAACACAAAATGAACAAATCACTCCCCAAGACGACCGAATGTTCTCGAGTCATGGGAAAGATTTGTTCAAAATTAACAAATCGTTCATGAACGACACATCACTAGTAGATAGAGATAGATTAATAGATAGCTAGATAGTAAGTTAGAGAGAAATAGATAAATTAGTTACATACAGTAGTTGGATAACACTAGATATAGTTACATAGTCCTAAATAATGTTTGATATTGATAAGATTTATATAT